TAAGGCGTGCAGCTGAGTGACAGGACCCCTGGTGGCACAGTGGTTAAGGCATGCAGCTGCTAACCCAAACAGCTGGTGACTTGAACCAATTCGCTGCTCTGGGAGAATGAGGGGCAATCCGACTTCATGAAGATTTACATCCTTGGGAACCCCTGAACAGTTCTGCTCCGACCTACAGTATGGCTGAGTCAGAATCAACTTGATGGTAGTGGGTTGTTTGGATTTTGGGTCTGAATTCCTTTTTTTTTACTATTTAAAACACAAAGAACCGGCTTGAGTCATACAGGGAGAGGCAAAGGCCCGAGTTGATGACCAACGTGGAGTAGGAGTTGAAAAGTGGGATGATTTTTATTGCTACGGTAAAGTTGGCCCCCGGCTCTCTTCATCTCTGCTTCTTCCTGCCGATTAATGCCTGCTCGCTCAGCCTCACGGCTCTTGATGACTCAGAGGTAATAACGTGTCCTCTTACAGTGGGTGAGCACAGTTAAGTCTTCAGGGATCCCCATTCTTCTCAATGTCATCCAAAATTTGTTACGATCCACACAGTCAAATTCCTCTCCAGTCAGTAAAACACAAGTAGACATCTTTCTGGTATGTTATGCTTCTGTGCTTTCAACCAAGATCTACCAGACAAGAAGCAGTTGTCTGAACAAAACAAGGTTAACACTAGGCGGTTTAAAATCAGGAAAGGGTGTCCATTTAAGAGTGTCTTAAATTTTTGGTGGTGGTAGTGTGTGCTGTAGAGTCTGAACTGACCCATAACTACCCTCCGGCAGCTTTTCAGAGGCAGTTAATCACATGGGAGGAGATTGCCTATCCTTCTTCCATCGCTGGGCAGATCATTCGAGAAGCTGGACTATATGAAAAAGAATGTGGCATCAAGATTGGAGGAAGACTCATCAACAACCTGTGTTATACAAATGACACAACCTTGTTTGCAGAAAATGAAGAAGCGATTACTGAAGATCAAAGACTACAGCCCTAGGGGAGCTCTGGTGGCCTAGTGGCAAGGAGCTGCAACTACAATCCCAGAGGCACACGGTTGGAATCCACCAGATGCTCTGCCGGGAAAGGAGGGACAATCTCCTCCTGTACCAGTCAGATCTGATTTGACGGTACACTCACACAAAAATAAAAAAAAAAAAGACTACAGCCCTCAATATGGATTACATCACAATAAAATTTAAAAAAGCCATGAAAAATCCTTACCACTGGACCAACAGACTACATTATGATTGACGGAGAAAAGACTGAAGTTGCCAACAATTTCATTTTATCTGGTTCCACAATCAACACCCATGGTAGTAATAGTCAAGAAATCAAAAGATACATTGCATTGGGAAAATCTGCTGTCAAAGACTTCTCTAAAATAATAAAGAGCAAGGATGTCAGTTTACAGACTAAGGTGCACCTGATCCATGCCATGATATTTTCAGTTGCTTCCTCAGCATCTGTAAGTTGGATAATGAGTAAAGATGACTGAAGAAGAATTAATGCCTTTCAGTTGTGGTGTTGACAAAGACCACGGAATATTCCCTGCACTGCCAGAAGGATAAACAAGTCCATCTTGGAGGAAGTGCAGCCAGGGCACTCCTTAGAGGCAAGGATGATGAAACATTCTTTGGGCATGTTGTTCAAAGGGGTCAGTCCTTTGGGAAAAGACACCACACTGGGAAAGGTGGAGGGTCAGAGGAAGAGGAAACTCCTCAGTGCGGTGGATTGACACAGTGACAGGAACAACTGTCAGAGATTGTGAGGATAAGGCAGGACAGGGAAAGATTTGACCTGTTGTTCACAGGGTCACTATAAATCACTTAACATCAACATTCCGATGGAATTTCATTTCTTCACTCTCTCACATACGCAGGGGAAAAGGGCACATTACCTCTCTAGTTTTGGGTATGCCTCAAATCTCTGTCTCTTGGGGCTCTGGGGGTGTGTGTGTGGGGGGGGTAGCTTCAAGAATCACTCTAGTACACACGTATAGAACAAACACATCTCCATGTGCATCACTTCATTATTTTTATCAGCCTCCATTGGTTCAGATGCATCACCAACAGTTACAAGATTTGCCCCCGTGTCCAGTCCCGTCTATCTTTATGGAGTGTTGTTCTCCACCCGTCATGATGAGGGCTACTGCCCTTGGAAGCTGAACCCAGAATCAAGAAGGTCCATGGTGTGGGGTCCAATGGGCCAAGGCTGGCGGGCATTGAGGGTGGAGGAAGGTAATCAGTCCCAGGCGACAGGCACAAAGGTTTCTACGGCGGAAGAAGGCTTTTGGCAAGAGGAGCCCTTTGTCACAAGAGTGACATGTCAGGCCCTAAGCTACTCAGAGTCTGTGTCCTGGAAGTGGGGGATGAATCACCCCAAGTCAGGAAAGAGAAGTTGGGGGCCGAGCTTCCCTCTTCCTCCGCAGCACGAAGTCTCCAGGGGCAGCCGGCCTCATTGCATAGAAGACGTTGGCATTGTCAGGAATCAGGAGCTCTGGCCAGGGGTGGAGATGACAGTGAAAGGCCTTCCCAGCCTCATGCCTCCCCCACAAAGGACCTGGGTAACCTCCTGCCATCCATCTGGGGCTTGAACGACTGAGTCCCTCCAGCCAGCACTGAGCCAACCTCACGGGCCTCTCCCCATCGGCCTGATCAAGTCCTCCTCACCCCAAACCCTCACTTAACATCTGAAAAGCCTCATAGAACCTTCTCAATATCCAGCCATTTTCACACTATGCCTTTCAGCATGGACAGGCAGCCTCTAGCCTCTCCTGCTCAAAGACTGGACCAGCTCTCTTCGCTCCACACCAACAGACCCCTCTCTTGAGTTTCTAAATGAGGTGGTCCTCTCCCATCCCAAGTCCAGATCACTTCCGAGTCCCCATGTCAAGTCTATGTGAGCTCAGTTCCTCACAGCTGTAAACCCAGGCTCCCTTCAGTCCCCTGCCCCAGCAGGCTGAGCCTCGACTACCTCATGACCCTACAGTTTAAGCCAGACCCCCTTCTACAGCCCCACTTCAACCCTGGACCACCTCATGTCCTGATAGTATCTTTACAGAAGGCAGTGTTAGGTGGCCCTGACGCTAGGACCCTTGCTGACACAGGGGTTAAGCATTCAGCTGCGGTTCATAAGGCAGGCGAACCCACCAGCTGCTATGTGGGAGAAAGACATGAGAGTCTGCGTCCTGCTAGATCCTGGCCTGGGAGCCCCTGGGGGGCACGTCTACTGTCCTGGAGATAGTGGGTTTGGTTTCCCACTGAGCCTGGGCAGCACCAGGATCACACATCCTGTAATACCCACTTGACCGCCTTCTACCCCATCCTGCTGCTGAGCCCACAGGCGATCTGCTGACCCCTGTTCTGAGCCTGAACCCCTCTTGTGGCCCAGTGAGCCTGGAACACTCTGAACCCCATCCTGGACCCTGGTATCTGCTGCCCTCCTGGCCATTCCCAAGCCTGGCTCCAAGTCATCCCTACTCACCCTTGTCCCCAGGAAGGACCTGGAAGAGCTGGTAGTCGCGGGCCCAGGGCTGGACCACGTTGTGCTTCTCCAAGGCTCGCTGTACCACAGTGGGGGCCTTGTCCTGACTGGTGAGCTGGGGAGACAGGGACAGGATGTGAGGTATGAGGACCAGACCCGAAGCAGGGTCACCCCGTAGGCTCCCAGCCCAGGCTGACCCAGCGCCTCACCAAGATGCTGCGATACAGGTTCCCATGGTCATTGTCGATGCTGACGCGGACGACACGGGCCTCGGAACCCTGCTGACCCGCAAGGGGGATGTGAGGGCTGCTCAGAGGTAAGGCTGGAACCCAGGGGCCTGGGAGGTCTGGGCTCAGGGGCTGTGGCAGTGGTGGAGAGGGGATGAAGGCTGAGGAGTGGGATGGCATGTGGCCCCCTCAGTACTGATACACTCAACAATATTCACCCGATACACCTTCTAATACCATGTGCACACAAATGCACACAGACCACAACACCCCCTACACACACAAAGTCAGAGACATAATCAGAACACACACGTGTGCACACACTACAGACATCTATTCTCTGATACACAACACATCTTCCATACCTGCTAGACACACAAGCCCGAGCTCACACACAAGAAATCCTTGTATGGCATCGTGCCACTGTTATAAAGAGGACTGACATAGGGGTTGGGAGAGACTGAGAAAGATGGTATAAATTATGAATACTGCATTGAAACAGATGAGGGAGAGGACTGTTTAAAAGGGATATGTGATTAACGATTACTGTCATGACAGGAGTCCAGAATGAAGGCTGCACAGTGGAGTGGACCTGGGGGTAGGGATTGAAGAAGAATGAAAGAATTTTTTCTTTTACTTTTCAAAAAGAAAAGTGAATTGAGGGGGGGAGGAGGGGCAGGGAGAAAAGTGCATCCGTGAATGAATGGAAATCCAAAGTCTCTGTAAACTTTCATTAAAATAAAGTTTTTAAAAAAGGGAGCTCTAAGGGGAGCTCTGGTGGCCTAGTGGCAAGAAGCTGCACTGCAATCCCAGAGGAACACGGTTCGAATCCACCAGATGCTCTGCCGGAGAAGGAGGCGCAATATCCTCCTGTACCAGTCAGATCTGATTTGACGGTACACGCACACAAAATAATAAAAAAAAAGGGAGCTCTGAAAAAAAAAATTTTAAAAAAAAAGGAGCTCTGGTGGCCTAGTGGCAAGAAGCTACACTTCAATCCCAGAGGCTCAAGGTGTGAATCCACCAGATGCTCTGCTGGAGAAGGAGGGACAATCTCCTCCAGTACCAGTCAGATCTGATTTGATGGTACACAAGCAAAAAAAAAAATAGAGAGGAGGAGAGAAGGAAGGAAGGCAGGAAGGCAGGAAGGCAGGAAGGCAGGAAGGCAGGAAGGAAGGAAGGAAGGAAGGAAGGAAGGAAGGAAGGAAGGAAGGAAGGAAGTTAGGAAGGAAGTTAGTTAGTTTAAAAAAAAAGAAGATTCAGTCCTGTGTAGACAGGAAGCAGCGTGCATGTTCACACCTGCATGCACACATACACGCACTCACGGTGGCTATCCACACATAAATCACTGTATAGCAAACAGCCTCTCACCTGGATCCACAAACAGGCGTGCCACGTTTTCTGTTTATGTGCATACATTCATGGGGACACATGCATCCTTGCAAAAGTATGGAGTTGTACCCCAAAGTGCCCTGTGGGTGGGCAGCAGATGCTTGGATCTCCAGCTGTGCCTCAGACTGGTGTGACAATGCCTCAAATAGGCAATGAGAAGCACATGGTCCTCAGGGTACACCCCCGGAGCCCAGGGGGCTTAGCCAGCCATACACAAACACAACCCTAGGTGCCTGCAGTCCAGGCCGCACATGCGCGGACACATAGTTGGTACCTTGGTGCTAGGGCCTCGGATCCCTGGAGAGGCTGGGGGACTGCCAGGAGGGTCCTTGGTTCTGGGGCTGGATGGGGGGGAGCCTGGGGACAGACTGGGACAGAACAGAGCCTGAGGTGGGGAGGCTGCCCCATTCCCAGCCCCGCTGGCTCCAGTCCCTCCCACCTATCAAGTCCTCACCTGGAGGTGGGGGAGGGCGGGTCCCCGGGGCTCCCACCAGGGGATGAGCTTTTCTCTCGGGACAGCTTCCTGAGGAGGGGCGGACGACGTGGGTGACGCTCAGCCCAGGCGCAGCCCTGGCACACCTCTGCCCACGTCACCCCCCCGACAACCCGAGACTCACGCACTGAGACGCTTGGTGAGGCTGAGGTGGCGCCGGATGCGTGGGGAGCTGGGGCAGGAGGCAGCTGGCGGCTCGATGACTCGAGAAATGCGGTAACTGAGGGGTCAAGGGGTGAGGCCGGTGTGGGGGGTGAAGAGATAGTTCAGTCCAGGAGTCGCGTTTGGGGTGAGGGGCATCAAATGTCAGAGTTAAGGTGTCAAATGGGGATCAATTATGGCACCAGGGTCTTATTAGACCAGGGATGGGGCGGAATGACTTCGTTATTAAAATGAACACTCAAATGGCGAGTCAAGTTGGGTCAAAGGTCAGACTGGGGTCAGACTCATGATTCCAGTCCTGGGGAAACAGCTGGGATAGTTGAACGAGAAAGGCAAATAAATGCCAGTCAGTCAGTCAGTGCTTTGGTACCTGAGACCAGAGGGTTGGACTTGGGGGGGTGGTCATGAGTGGGAGCTATGAGTTAACAGAGTCAGAAGCTGAGTCAGAGAACAGATGGGATAGTCGAGTTGAATGGCCAGATGAATGTCAAAGTCAAGGTCAGAAAGTCTGACAGGGTTCAAGTTTGGGGCCAGGCCGGGCCAAGGCCTCACCTCTGCTCCTCGCTGAGCTGGCGCTGGGCACGCAGGGCGGCCACGAAGGGCAGGCAGGGGCTCAGGCAGTAGGTCCGACAGCGTCTTTGCAGCTGCTGGATGCGGCCCAGGATCTCCCACTCCTGAGAGGATAGCCGCTGAGACCCCACCCCGCACCACCTCCGCCTGGGGCACCCCACACATTTCCCCCCAGCACCCACTCACCTTTCTCCTCTTCTCAAAGTTGATGAGACCCCCCTGGACAGTAAACAAGGCAAAGTCTAAACTAGTGAGTCTGAGGGTCAAGGGAGCAGTGGTCAAGGGCAGGAGTGGGCTATCAGCAGGAAACAGGACTGGGGTCAGGGGTCAGACCTCCAGCATGTCCGGCAGGGCTGTGTCCAGCATCACCAGGTCCGTGAGGAAGGTGCCCAGGTAGGGGACAGGACCCGGGGGCAGCTTCTGCAGCCCCAGAGCTCCAGTCACTCTCTGTCGTCAACGACCCATCCCTCAGCCCCCACATTCCTCCCTGTCCTTCACCCTAAATCACATCACTCACTGAAGACTGGCTTCCTGGAGGAGTATCCTCTTCTTGGGGTCCCTCGATGGCCTCCTCCTGGAGGAGAAGAAGTACTGAGAGAACGTGGGTCTCATTTGACCCCTACCTCGGGTCACAGTCTCGAGCCCCACCAGCCACACACATTTTATTTTCAGCAATCACAACACTGTTAGAAAGGCAAGGCCAAGGAGCTGGACCTATATGGGAAAGGTGCCCAGAGGGAGGCAGAGAGCAGGAGAGCAGCAGTGGATGATGAGAATGATGGGAGGCAGAGTTCATGGTACAGGACAGGAGAGAGGCCGGTGCCTGGACAGGATGGCACAGGCCCACTGTGGATACTCTGAAGCCCATCATCAGACTTTTGCTTTGCCAGGTAATTACAGAATCTGGGGGGCGACTGTCAGGAACGGTGTCTACCTGGCTCCCTGTGGAGCCTGCTGGCACAGGGCATGTGCCTAGAGCAGGGCTCCTTCTAACAGGAGCCCTCATGATTGGAGTCACTACCAGGTGTTTATTGAGTCCTAACAAATCAATAGGCAACATCATGATAAATGAAAATATTGACATCAATAATTTCCTTTCACTTGGATCAATATAATCAACACCCATAGAAATGGCAGCCATGAAATCAAAAGATTTGCTGTGTTGGGCAAATGTGCTGTCAGGGACCTTCATAAGGGATCTCCGGTCACCTAGTGGCAAGAGGCTGTGCTGCAATCCCAAAGGTGTACAGTTCGAATTCACCAGATGCTCTGCTGGAGAAGGAAAGGCAATCTTCTCCTGTGCCAGTCGGATCCAATTCGATGGTACACAGCAACAACAACAACAACAACAAAAGCCCTCTATAAACTGCTAAAGAGCAAGGATGTCAGTTTAAAGACTAAGGTGCACCTGATTCAAACCATGGTATTGTCTATTGCTTCATATGCATGGAAAAAGAAGGGGAAAAAAAGAGGGGGCTCTGGTGCTTTAGTGACAAGAAGGTGTGCTGCAATTCTGAAAGCATGATGTTCAAATCCACTGACTGCTTCGCAGGAGAAGGAGGGGCAATCTCCTCCTGTTTGGTTAACCACCAGAGGGTCAGTTATGGGTGGGTTCCGACTCGATGGTACACAACAACAACAACATATTGGTACAGGATAGGAAAGAATTCAGATCTGCTGTTCACAGGGTCACTATGGGCCGTACTCGGCTCGACGGCACCCAACAACAGTATATGCATTAAGGTTGAGCAAGGACTAAGGATGACAGAGGAAGAGTTGATGTCTTTGAATCGTGTGTGTTGAATAGCCCACAGACTGCCAAACGAACACACGTGTGAGCCAGAAGGGCAGTCCACATGCTCCTGGGAGGCAAGGCTTCATCTCACATATTCTGGGCATGTTGTCACAAGGGGTTAGTGCTTGGAAAAGGACATCACACGGCAAAGGTCAGCAAAGAAGAAGATGCTTAGAGCAATGACTGCAACAATGGGCTTAACCATGATGGAGATTATGAAGCTAGAGCAGGATGGGGCTGGATTTTAAACTGCTGTTATGTAGGATTGCTAAAAGGTGGAGTAAACTAGATGGCACCTAACAATAAAACGTTGTTGTTACGTGCCATCAAGTCAAGGACCCTGTGAACAGCCAACCTGAACCCTGGCCTGGCCTGTGCCATCCTCATCACCTCTGAAACCCTCAAGCCCACTGCTGAAGTCACCATCTCAATCCATCTCATTGGAGCTCTAACTCTCTTTTGCTGACCTCCCATCTTTCCAAGCACGCTGTTCCTCTCCAAACAGCCTCGTCTAGTCACATGTCCAAAGTATAAAAGCAAAGCTTTGTCATCATTGCCTCCAAAGAGCACTCCGGCTGGATACTGTCCAACATGTATCTATTTGTTGTTCTCTTGGTCATCCATGATTGACTTCCAATCCAAGTATTAAATGATGTTTGCCATTATTGTTTCTCATTTTGACTGATTTGAGGAAAACAAATTTAAGCCTTGAGTCAATATTGTGAAAGATCCTACGGGTAATATATTGAATGACCTAGAAAGCATCACAGAATCACTGTTCCAAAGAGACCTGACTGACACTGAAAATTTTCAGGAAGTATCATATGAGCAGGACCCAATTGTAATGAAAGAGGAAGTGGAAGCTGCATTTAAGGTATCGGCCAAAAAAATAATGCCCTAGGAATTGATGGGATACCAATTGATTTGTTTCAATTAACAGATGCAGCCCTGGATAAGCTCACCAGGAAATTTGGAAGCCAGCTGTCTGGCCAACATATTGGAAGAGATAAGATCCATATTTGTTCCCATTACCAGGAAAGATGATCCAACAGAATGTGAAAACTATCGAACAATATCATTAATATCACATGCAAGCAAAATACTGCCGAAGATTAAAAAATGGTTAGACAATACATAGATAAGAAACTTCCAGAAGTTCAAGCAGGATTTATGAGACTGTGGCATCAGGGATATCACTGCTGAGGTCAGATGGATCCTAGCTGAAAGTAAAGAATACCAGAATGTCTATTTATACCTTATTGAGTATGCAAAGGCATTTGACTGTGTGGATCATAATCATTTATGGCTGACATTGAGAAGAATGGGAATCCCAGAACACTTTACTGTGTTCATGCAAAACCTATACCTAGACCAGGAGCTGTTGTGTGAACAGAGCAGAGGAGCACGCAATTTAAAACTAAGAAGGGAGTGCATCAGGGTTGCATTCTTTCTCCATATCTATTCAATCTGTATGATGTTGTTTTTAAGTGCCGTCAAATCACCTGCTACTCATAATGACCCTATTTACAACAGCTCTGAAGCCTGCCCTCTCCTCAGCCAGTTTCATTGACTCCAACATATCTAATCCTACTGCCCCAGTTTTCATGTCAATCCATCTCATCTGGTGTCTTCCTCTCCTCCACTCTTCCAAGCATGATGTCTTTCTCCAAGGATTGGTCCCTTCTGGCCACATGCCCAAAGTATATGAGATGGAGCTTCAAAATCCTTGCCTCAAAAAAGAAACTTGGTTTCACTCTCTCTAAGATACCTATTTGTTTTCCTGGCTGTCCATGATATGTTTAGTACTCTTCTCCAGCACCACAACTCAAAGGCATCAATTCTGTCATCCTTAGTTATTGGCCAGCTCTCTGACGCATAGCAAGTAATTGCAAAGAAAACTGCCTGGATCATGAGCACCTTAGTCTCTAGATTAACATCATTTCTCTCAGCACTCTGGAGAGGTCCCTGACAGCAGATTTTCCCAATGCAATTTGTCTTTTAATTTCCTGATTGCTGGTGCCAAGAATGTTAATAGTGGAACCAAGCAAGTTGAAATTGTTAAAAATCTCAATCTCCTCTCCATCTATCATGAAGCTGCCAATTGGCCTAGTGGTGAGAATCTTTGTCTTCTTGATGTTTAGCTTCAATCCATGTTGAAGACTACATTCCTTGAAGTTCTGCACAAATGCTTCAGATCCTCCTCAGTTTCAGCAAGCAAGGTTGTATCATTTGCATAGACCAAGTTGCTGACCAGGCTTCCTCATAAAGTCTAGCCTCTCAAATGATGTACGCTGAGCAAGTTATTTGAGAAGCTGAACTCTGTGAAGAGGAATGTGGCATCCAGATCAGAGCGAGGCTCATCAATAATCTGTGTTATGAAGATGACACAACCTTGTTTGCTGAAAGTAAGGAGGACTTGAAGCACTTGTTGCAGAAGATCAAAGAATACAGCCTTCAATGTGGATTGCATCTCAATGTCAAGAAAACAAAGATTCTTACTACTGGACCAATAGGCAATAGCTTGATAGATGGAGAAAAGACTGAAACTGTCAACAACTTCATCTTACTTGAATCCACAATCAACACCCTTGGTACCAGCAGTCAGGAAATCAAAAGACGTATTGCACTGGGAAAGTGTGCAGTTAGGAACCTCTCCAAATTACTGAGGAGTAATGATGTTGGTTTGAGAACTTGAGTCTTATTCGGGCCATGGTCTTTCTGACCACTTGCTATGCATCTGAGAGCTACACAATGAATAAGGATGACAGAAAAATAGATGCCTTTGAGCTGTGGTGTTGGAGAAGAGGGCTGAACATTCTATGGATGGCCAAAAGAATAAACAAATATGTCTTGGAGAGGGTGCAGCCAGAGCGCTCTTTGGAGGCAAAGATGATGAGGCTTCACCTCATGTACTTTGGGGCATGGTGCTGGGAGGAGCTATTTCTTGAAGAGGGACATGATGTTTGGAAGGATGAAGGGTCAGCAAAGGTGAGGAAGACCCTCAACCAGGTGGACTGACACAGTGACTGCCGCAACAGGCTCTAATGTGTCAGGAAGGGTGAGGATGGCACTGGATAGGGTTCAGATCTGTTGTTCATGGAGTTACTATGGGCTGTACTTGACTTAATGGCACCTAACAACAACAACTCCAGTACCACAACTCAAATGCATGAATTCTTCTTCTGTCATCCTTATTCATTGTCCAGCTCTTCAATGCATAGCAGGTGATTGAGAAGGTCATGGCTTAAATTAGGTGCACAATAGTCTTCAAACTGATAATATTGCTCTTGAGCTTTCCTGAGAGGTCTTTTTGACAGTGCACTTGCCCAGAACAATACATCTAATTTCCTGGCTGCGAGTACCAAGGGTTTTGACTACTGATCTGAGGATGATGAAATCACTGACAGCTAGGTGCTATTCTGGGCGCTGGGAACTCAGCAGTGAGCAAGCCAGACTCCGGCCTCAGTCCCCTGGAGTAGATGGGGCTGTGGAAGACATTGTCATAGACTCTGACAGCACAGAGCAGAGCATGGTAGAGGCGGAGGGTGGGGCCTGGGAAGCACCTCTCTGAACCTAGACATTTGTTGTGGTCACAACCTAAGCCTTACCAACAGCAAACCAGACCTGTGGGCACACCTTTCTTAATTTGATTTGGTGAGTTCAAGTCCTCAACATTTTTTCCCCCTTCCGTTATTTGCTATGACTCTGGTGTGAAGCGATCTCTTTCTTGTGACTTCCTGTATGTGCTGAATGGGTAAACAAGGCGGGCGGCACCCAAGGACAAAAGCAAGGTCACGCGTGAGACCCCAGACAAAAGCGCTGAGCGCTGTGACAATGACCAGGTGAGTGCCCTGCCTGGAGCCACATCCCCTCCCTGGGCCTGGGGGGTGCACGGGGGGCCCGCACCCCTCCCTACCTGAGAAAGAATCTCTCTGCTGCTGAGGTGGTTGTTCTCATCGGAGAAAATCTGTGACAGTTTCCTGAAAGTCGACAGTGGTTCCCTGGGACACAGGAGGGAGAAGAGAGGTCAGACACCAGACAGCCCAAGCTGGGATGGGGGTGGGGAGGAGGTCCCACTCCAGGAGAGGTCCCCCCACTCGCGGCCCTGCTCACCGGCTCACGGCGCCCCAGCTGCGCTTGAGCCTGTAAATGGGGTTGGACTGCAGGGCGGACAGGATGGCGCGCAGCGAGGAGAAGTTGCGCAGCTCACGGCAGCGCTGGAGGACCACGCGGGGGTGCTGGTCAGACCCAGCCTTGACCCCACGACTTCTGACCTCTACATTGTGGTTCCACATTCGACAAAACTGCCAACATTAAGCATCCTCCCCTGGGAGACCCCTTCTCCTTCCCTCCAGCCCCAAATCACCCCAAAACCTCCACCTCTGACCTCTCCAGCGCCCTCTCTGCCCAGACCCCAGACTTGCCCACGACAACCCCTCCTCCCTGGGGCGTGGACCCTTTCTCCCTGAGCCCCGGATGTCAACCTTCCCACGGGTTCCATCCTACTCCCCCTCACCTAGCCCTCTGTGCGCGCCCATTTCTTCCTCTCCTTTCTATGAGGGGGACCGTGTCCCCACTATACTTTTTCTCTGCGAACCTGGCCTTGCAGGTTGCTTTAGTTCTGACTTCTCGAGGCTCTGGCCCCGCCCAGTCACCGCCCCAATCGGGAGCCCCGCCCTTAGACCACGCCCCTCTGTCATACCCCGCCCACTGATCGCATCCTCTTCCCCTCCACACACCACGCCCTCCCATCAGACTCCACCCACAAACCGCACTCTCTCCTCCAGGCCCCGCACGCACACCGCAATGTCCTCCAGACCCCGCCCACAGGCCCCGCCCTGGAAACAAACCTCGCCCATATCCTCCCCTCCCTGTCCCGCCCCTGACCACGCCCCTCCTCTCGGTCCCGCCCACGCGACACACCCTCTTCTCTTAGCCCCGCCCACATGACACACCCTCTCGTCCAGGCCCCGCCCGTAGACCACGCCCTCATTTCAGACTCCGCCCGCAGACTACATCCTCTCCTCCAGACTCCGCCCCCACATCACGCCCCTCCTCTAGGCCCCGCCCACCCCACCTGCGCGATGCGGATCCACTTCTCCAGCCGCTGCGCCCTCTGCGGGGCGGCCAGGCCGGGCGCCGCGAGCACCGAGCCCAGCACGCAGCCCGTCACCGTGTTGAACTGAGCCACGGTGGCGCGCACGGTCGGGGAGATGCCCGCGGCCCCTGGCCGGTCCCGCTGCGACCACACGGAGCCCAAGCACTCACAGGAGCGCACGCGCGAGAAGAGGTCCTGGGCAGGGTGGGGAGGGC